AGGTGATATGAGGTGATTTTGTGCTATTTACCTTAAAGCGTGATGTTTGAGTTATTGTTAAAGTTTAAGAAACAAGTTCTTTTTAAGAAGTAACCCACCTTCAAGAAGGTGTAGTCGTTTTAAGTGTTTTTAGTCACTAGCGCCAGTCCGTTGCCATTTGAGATTTTCAGATAGAGCAGCAGTTATGCTCTTGAGATCTTTGAGATAGAGCAGCAGTTATGCTCTTGAGACTTTTAAGATGAGCAGCAGTTATGCTCTTGAGAATCGTGGTGAAGAGCCACCACGATATGTTTAAGATGTTAGGGGGATGAATCGTTTCGAATCCCCTAACTAAGTTTAAGTTTAAGGAAAGCTTTGATGGCTTCTCATATGTATGAGTTGGCAACCGGACTAGCTAGTGGGGGATCCCAGTGTCAGTCAAGTATTTAAGTCGAGATTTGAGCTTTAAGAATGGAGAGTAACAGTAACTCCCATACAGTTTTAAGAGTTAGGAATTTTAAGAGTGGAAGTACAAACAACTTCCACAAATTTAGGTAAGTGTTTTAAGTAAAGTACTAAGCAATAAGAATTTTTAAACGTAAGGGCGTAGACTGACCCCATCTCACTCACCAGTTTGAAGAGCTAGAGGAAGAGCTAGAGGAGCATTTTAGTGAGCAGCGAATTCGAGGGCAGGCAGCTAGAGGAGGGCAGTATAAGCGTCATAGAGGATGCTTAGTTAAGGTTTCAGTAGCAACAACATTAGAGATTATTAGTTATTTACATTTATGATTATGAGTATAGACTGGAGATCAGATCGAGATTTTAAAGTTTGAGTTTAATTTGCCCACGTGTTATGGCTTTGCTCTGAGCTTCAAGTGTGTGTTTTCAGTATTTTATTTATGAAAATTTTTCCCGATGCATTCTAAGATTTGAGTATTTTATTTATCAAGGGCATTTTAGTAAAAGTAGTATCCGACCGGGTTAGGGTGTTACAAGTTGCTTGCTAGTTAACAACTTAAGCGATTGAAGTAGGGGTACATGGATCGACCCGGGTTGACAATTTAAATACTTGCCCTATACTGCACCCTGCTAGAGTTTAAAAACTTGGGCTCTAGTTGGGATTAATTTATGGAGTAGTTTCGTGCGAGTCACTTGTCAATAACCACTTTGGCATCCCCTTCGAACCGTACTTCCGTAAACCCGGATGCACTACACCAATGAATAGCTTCACAGAGAGTAAGCACCTCAACAACCAAAGGGTCATCAATCACGCTAAATTGAACACCTTTAGCCCCTAAAACCCCCCAAGTCAGGTTCATCACAACCATTCCTCCTACTGAGTGAGATGCTTGTTTGATAGCCCCATCCCATTTACAAATTATCGAGCAAGGGGTTGAGTCCCGCAAAGATTGATCAGCTAGGATAGGAGGCCGCTGCGCCCCACCCCCAGGCAAACTTATCCATTCTTGATACTGCTAATTAAATTGACGTATGAGGGCTGGGATCCCGAACTGCTTGCCCTCGAAAACAATCCAATTACGAGATCGCCAAATTCTCCAAAGAATTGCAGCAACTGCCATAAACAGTTGAGGTTGGTGAATACACATCATCAACTTTTTCAGGAATAAAGGAAAAGTGTGCCTAGGAAGCCCTTGACCGAGATACTCCAACCTCGCATAATCCCACAAGGCCCTAGCCACTAGGCAATCAATGAAAAAATGTTCCATTATCTCAAACTCTTCCCAACACACCGGACATCGAGGATGGGCCTAGATATCCTTCTCGATAAGAGCTTCAGTGGTAGGCAGAAGTCGATTGAAGATTTGCCACAAAAAATGTGCAATTTAGGGGGAATAGGAGCATCCCATAATTAAACCCAACTGGGTCTATCCATCCAACTAACTATCGATCGCCACCTACCTTCTCTTTTATCTAGTAGGAAAGCCAAATGGTAGGCTGACTTCACCGTAAAATCTCATCTTCTATTTCATGCAAAACGAGGCGATCCTCAATATCCTCTCGCGGAGATGAATTTCTTTAATAGCACGACAAGTAGTGGGGTCAAGCCACTGGCTAAGCTTCGAGTCACACCAACACCCTTCCCCCTGGGCATATGACCTCAACGACCACTGGGTTACCGCCAGCGGGCAATATCTGGGGGTTGTAAACGGGACTGTCAAGGTGTAACCGAGGCACCCAGTTATTATGCAGCAGCGGGGCAGACCGGCCATTACCAATTTGCCACCGAAGCCCCTTAACTAACAGCTGACAACCAAACAGAATGCTTTGCCAGCCCTAGGATGAGCGAGACTGAGCAGTAGCCTCAAGGAAATAGCCTTTGGGGAAATATTTACCCTTATAAACTTGGGCAAGAAGAGAGGTTGGGTCATTGAGGATTCACCAGCCAATCTTAGCTAGAAGCGCCTGATTGAAATGCTCGAAACGACAAAACCCCATCCATCCATCATGTTTACTCCTACACATGTTGCGGCAGGACATCCAGCAGATTTTTAACTGTCCATTTTCCACTCCCCACCAAAATCTGGCAACATGCCTATCCAAAAGGCGATAGAGCAAAAGAGGGAGTCGAAAATAGGATATAACATGTAGAGGCAATGGCAGGGCCACCGATTTAATCAAAGTCTCTTTCGCCGCCCAAGATAAAGTCTTATGCTTCCATCCCTGAAGTCGAGCCAATAGCTTTTCTTCCAAATACCAAAAATTATCCATTTTTGACGGGGATATCAGGGTAGGCAGTCCCAAGTATTTATCCTGAACCCCCACTGCACCCATACCCAGGATTTGGGCGAGGAATTCTTGATCCAGAACAACGATATTTCTACTAAAGCATACCGCTGACTAAGCCAAATTGACCCTCTGACCACAAAGCTCCTCGTATTCATTCAGCATCACGATCAAGTTTTCGCATTCCTGTTTTGATTCCCGAAGGAATAAGTATGAATCATCAGCGAAGAACAACTGCGAGATACGAGGAGACCTAGGAGTAACCTTAACTCCTTCCAACTTCTTTTCCGAAATAGCTTTCCGGAGGAGGGCTGTAAATCCCTAAGTGCAAAGCACAAACAGGAAAGGAGACAACGAATCTCCTTGGCGGAGCCCTCTCGAGGAGGTGAAAAAACCCTTTGGAGTGCCATTCATCAGGACCGTAAACAAAGCCAATCTTAGACACTCATGTACCCACCCCTGCCAGGTTGAATTCAAACGCATCTTGTCCAAACCCGCTAAGAGAAAAGGCCATTCGACTCTATCATAGGCCTTTTTCATGCCAACCTTTAGAGCCATGTACCATTTTTTTCCCCGCGTTTTGATTTTCAAGTAGTGCATTAATTCGTGACCTAGAAGGATATTCTCCACAATCTGTCGTTCACGAATTAAAGCATTTTGGCTTTCTGAAACGATCTATGGTAACAAGCGAGCCAGTCATTCGGACATAATTTTGGTTATGATCTTATATATAAACCGGCACAGGCTAATAGGTAGGAGTTGCCTCATTTTCTCAACATTGTCAACTTTCGGGATAAGTGTGAGCCAGGTATGATTGAAACTACGGAGCATTCTACTCGTTGAGAAGAATGAACATACAGCTGCGATGATAGAATCCCCGACAATATCCCAAAAATATTTGAAGAACTTTCCTGTGAAGCCATAAGAACCCGGTGCTTGTTTCGAACCCATGAAGAAGACCGTCTTCCTTACTTCTCCAAGGAGGACCACCGACGTGAGAGTGGCATTCATGGCATCAGTAACTCAACGATCTATTGGTAGCGTGGCCACCCGTTCCACCATATTAGGCACCTGGTTTCCCGAGGAAAAGAGAGATTGATAAATATCAGTGGCAATATCTACCTTACCTCCCTCTTCCGTTATCCAATCCCAGCATCATTATGGAGGCTAGCCACATAATTATGTTTACGACAAACCCTTGTTACCGTATGAAAATACTTAGAGTTCTTATCACCTCTTTTTAACCAACGGACCCTTGATTTCTATTGCCGGTAGACTTCTTCCGCTTCCCACTGCCTATTCAGCTCTGTTTCTAGGGTCTTCACTGTATCCCAGTCAATCGGGGAAACCAATTTGATCCAGTCATTTCTACCTGGATACCCTTTATATTATGGAGAGAATTATTAGTACCCGCCCTGCTCCAGTCGTAAAGCAAATGACGGAGTTTCTTAAGTTTCTCCCCCAACTGATACATAGGCGTTCCTGGGATCCCCTCCTGCCAAACATAGGTGACCATAGACTTCACTTCAGGATTTTCATCCCAACGGGCATCAAAATGAAATAGCGGCCGACTATTACGGATATAAGGCTTGTCTGATAGAAGCAAAGCGCGATAATCAGATTCTTGATCTGTGAAATGTTTGACAAGGGTATCGGGGAAGAGGTCAATCATGTTTTGAGAGCAAAGAGGCCTATCTAGACGTTCCCAGACACAAGTCATCCCCATGCGTTTATTCGTCCATGTAAACTAGGTACCCTAGTACCCAGGATCGTGGAGGCCCAGATCATGAACAAAATTTCGGTGATGGGTTGCATGGGAAGCATTCCAAGGGTTACCATCATCTTTTTCGCTCTCATGAAGAGTTACGTTAAAATCTCCTATAACCACGAAAGGTAAAGTGATACCCTCGCAAATTTCACGCAATTGAGCCAATTGCTTAGCTCTTATTGCTTCAACACAGCTAATGTAGACGGAAACCACAACATAAGAAATTTACACTTCATTAATTTGAGTACAAATGCAGAAGTTGGAATGGAAAAAAACCAAAGCATTAACTTCGTGGGGCCAAGCTAAAACAATTCCACCAGATGCATCGATGACATCAACAAAACAACAATGAAAATTATCAAAACCTAAACCCCGCATATGACGAAAAACGACTAGCCTGCGCAATCTTGTTTCTAAGAAGAAAACAAGGTCCGGTTTATTAGAATGAACTAAACCGACAGAAGGTTGTCATCAATCTGGTGAACTCTACCCTTGTCCCTCGAGGAACCTACATGACTGTCTTCCTTGGTGTTCGAGTTTTAAGCTCAAAGCGGTAAGCATCCTCCTCCGTATAGGTATCAACCAGGTCCTCCACATTTTCAGCATAGGGGCTCTGAAGGTTGTCATCAGCACTCATGGGAGGAGGATCGGCCGCAACGTGCGTATCATCTACACCGTGCCCGTCCTTCGCGTGAACTGGGTCCCGCAGGTGAGGTCGGTTTCTTTGTCTCCCCGAACCTCCCCTACTCCCGACAGCAGTCAACATGTTATGTTCATGGTGAGAAATAGAAGCCGAAGAAGACCGGGCCTTCATCCCCATATTGGAATTGTCGTCTTTTCCAGCAACCCCGTCTTTTTGTGCCATTTTCACAAGGCGCCGCCTGTTGCTCTTAGCTGCAGATTTATTCCGGTGATCTAACATCTCCTTTGCCAGCAGAGGGTGGATTTCATCCTCAGAATCGTCCAGGATTAGCTTTCGCCGAATCATTGGGACTTGTCTCGGCGCATCAGGGTTCATTTGGACCTCGGCCAGCCTTCCCTTCTTATCATCCGGGCTTGCATCCATGGCATCACTCCTAGAATACGCCATATATATGTTGGGTTTCACTTTCTTTCCTCCCCATTCTTTCTTTGGGCCGATGTCCATGTTATAACCACGCCGGGTAATAGCAAATCGCCCCCTGCAAAGGAGAACGTTGGCGCAGTCTCCGTCTGTGCTTCGTTCGCGGAGATTTCTTCATTGGGAAGCCTTTTAGGGTTCGCCTCCTCTGCTTGGTATTAAAGTTTTCCCGGTATATTGAATCCAGACTAGCCCTATCTCGCATAGCACCTTGCTGCTCTTGGCTACCCATTTCGGGATCCAAGGATTGAACCCGGTTTTCCATGCTACCATCCCTGCAGTCTCCCAGAGTTGTGTTAATCCACACGGATTTCGATTTTCCTCGAAATTTTTGAGCATGGTCTTCCGCATCATATAGCTAGATGCACAATTTCTTGGTGGACATATGCGGTCCAAATTTTTCCTTACCGGCTGGGGGATCAAAAGTACAATCGTTAATAAAGTGCCCCACATGCCTGCAATGGAAGCAGAACGATGGTAAGTATTTGTACTTTAGTGAGACCCAGAAGCACCCTGTAACATTATTGACAGCCATGATTTGTGATCGTAATGGTTTAGTGAGGTCAATCACAGTTCTCACTTTCACAAAACGTTCAAAAGTTTCTTGGCTAACAAAGACACCAGCCTCCAGGACATGGCCAAGTTTATTGGTATCCATATTCCTCCCGAATTTCTGAGTGCAGCGGTCCTTCTTCACGTCCCACAGCTGGACACGTAGAGGAACCATGGAAAGGTCATCAAAGAATTTTTTTGAGATGGTAGGAGTCCATGATCTTGTCCTTTACCACCCACGGCGTTATCTTGAGAACCCATATCTTGGCTTCCTCAGAGTCCATTGATAGTGTTTTTTAAAATTATTTTAATATTTCACAATTGATCATTCTTCGTCAAACTCCGTTAACTTTTGCTTATGTGGCGGTCAACTCTGACATGAAAATTAAAAATAATAAAATAAATAAAATTTAATTTTTTAAAATATCCACCTCATTTCTAACTATTAAAAAGATAATCAAAAATTAAAATTTAGTTTTCTATCTTTCCCCCGACCTTTCTTTATTAATCACCGTTCATTGCCCGTCTTTGCCGCCATTGACGATACCGCATCCGTTCCCACCGGAGACACCGCGAACCATTTCAATTCCCGGGTGCATTTCAGCTTCAGCATCCCGTACAGTTTTTCGGATGTCCTTCACCGGCTTCAACATCTCCGCCGACCCTCCTCCGTCTCTCCTAAAGATCCCCGATTGCTCCATCCACTCCTCATGCGAATCCCAGTACCCGCTTCGCGGTCGCTGTTCTTCCAACTTCCAAAGCAATATCCAAAGTAGTCCAGACGAAAAGGGTAAAAAGCTGGCGGATTGCTCCGCTGCTTCATACCAAGTTACGCTAAACATCCCCCCAAAACTGATATCCGTCGTCTTACCTACACTACTTCAACACCAAGAAATCGGCTCCACCCTAAATCCTAATTTTCCCTTATAGACATTCCGTCCAACACCTTTGCTTCATTCCACTCAAACCCATCATTAAAGCCCAACTTCCCAAAACAAACACAATCCCTTCTTCACGACATCATGTGATCCTTAGGTCCCAAGTGGCCGGCTACTCGCCAAAGTTTTGAGCGCAGAGAAATTGCACATCGGGAAGTGGATGTGGACGTCGAAACGACCCGGGCGGAGTATTGACCTGCTCCTTGCTGTAAGAACTAAGAAATTAGGTGGGAATTTTCAAAAAAATTATTTTATTTAATTATTTATCTTTTAATAGTCATGTCACACATTTAATGGTCAAATCTTAAAGTCGACCGCCACGTCAGCAAAAGTTAACAGAGTTGGACGGAGCGTGACCAAACGTGAAATATTTAAATAATTTTAGTGACCATGAATGAAATTAAATATTTATAGTGATCAAACATGAACATTTTAAAAATCTCAGTGACCAACCTTGCCATTAACGCAAATTGAATAGGATGTGAATGATAAGAGTTACAACTACATAATAACGTTAGTTTTTCTATATCATGGAACAAATAAACATGTTTCGATTTTGTAGAGACACATCATTGAAAGGAAGAGGTACAGATCCAAAAAATAAGGTGGACCACGAACCTCCAAGATAAGCCAACGACGACAAATGTGGAGGAAAAAATGAAAGCAGGGGCTCGAAAGGGAAAGTCGTTCATCTTCTTCTTCTGAATTGCGTTGGTCTTGTTTTCTTCAAGTCCTAGGATTAAGGATGTCATATCAATTTATATAATTGTGTTGGTTTAGCGAGTGGAGATAGTATGATTATTGGCACAATTGGTTGTGTTGGTTCATGACCTAGAAGGAAATTCTCCACAATCTGTCATTCACGAATGAAAGCATTTTGGTTTTCTAAAACGATCTATGGTAACAAACAAGCCAGTCTTTCGGACATAATTTTGGTTATGATCTTATATATAAACTGGCACAGGCTAATAGGTAGGAGTTGCCTCATTTTCTCAACATTGTCAACTTTCGGGATAAGTGTCAGCCAGGTATGATTGAAACCACAGAGCATTATACTCGTTGAGAAGAATGAACATACAGCTGCGATGATAGAATCCCCGACAATATCCCAGAAAGATTTGAAGAACTTTCCTGTGAATCCATAAGAACCCGGTGCTTGTTTCGAACCCATGAAGAAGACCGTCTTCCTTACTTCTCCAGGGAGGACCACCGACGTGAGAGTGGCATTCATGGGATCAGTAACTCAACGATCTATTGGTAGCGTGACCACCCGTTCCACCATATTAGGCACCTAGTTTCCCGAGGAAAAGAGAGATTGATAAATATCAGTGGCAATATCTACCTTACCTCCCTCTTCCGTTATCCAATCCCAGCATCATTATGGAGGCCAGCCACATAATTATGTTTACGATGAGCCCTTGTTACCGTATGAAAATACGCAGAGTTCTTATCACCTTTTTTTAACCAACGGACCCTTGATTCCTGTTGCCAGTAGACTTCTTCTGCTTCCCACTGCCTATTCAGCTCTGTTTCCAGGGTCTTCACTGTATCCCAGTCAATCGGGGAAACCAATTTGATCCGGTCAATTTCTACCTGGATACCCTTTATATTATGGAGAGAATTATTAGTACCCGCCCTGCTCCAGTCGTAAAGCAAATGACAGAGTTTCTTAAGTTTCTCCCACAACTGATACATAGGCGTTCCTGGGATCTCCTCCTGCCAAAGATAGGTGACCATGGACTTCACTTTAGGATTGTCATCCCAACGGGCATCAAAATGAAATAGCGGCCGACTATTACGGATATTAGGCTTGTCTGATAGAAGCAAAGCGCGATGATCAGATCCTTGATCCATGAAATGTTTGACAAGGGTATCAGGGAAGAAGTCAATCATGTTTTGAGAGCAAAGAGGCCTATCTAGACGTTCCCAGATACAAGCCGTCCCCATGCATTTATTCGTCCATGTAAACTAGTCACCCTAGTACCCAGGATCGTGGAGGCCCATATCATGAACAAAATTTCGGAGATGGGTTGCATGGGAAGCATTCCAAGGGTTACCACCATTTTTTTCGCTCTCATGAAGAGTTACGTTAAAATCTCCTATAACCACGAAAGGTAAAGTGATACCCTCACAAATTTCACGCAATTGAGCCAATTGCTTAGCTCTTATTGCTTCAACACAGCTAATGTAGACGGAAACCACAACATAAGAAAATTACACTTCATTAATTTGAGTACAAATGCAGAAGTTGGAATGGAAAAAAACCAAAGCATTAACTTCGTGGGACCAAGCTAAAACAAGTCCACCAGATGCATCGATGACATCAACAAAACAACAATGAAAATTATTAAAACCTAAACCCCGCATATGACGAAAAACGACTAGCCTGCGCAATCTTGTTTCTAAAAAGAAAACAAGGTCCGGTTTGTTATAATGAACTAAACCGACAGCAGTTTGAAATGTGAGGGATGAACCAATTCCTCTCACATTCCATGCAAGAATCTTTATTTATCCGACTGGGGTTAGTTTTGGCTGGCTACCTTCACCTAATCAGAATCATCCTCCACAAATTGTTTCTTGGGATTAGGATCATCACCCATCTCCCCCTCCACCTCGCTGAAGGGGCGCTTACGCCTTCCAAAATCCGGATCAAGAAGGTTAAATCCATATTCATCGAGGTGGCCAGCATCCCTGCCTTCCTCCTACTCCCAATCTTTTATTTGTTGAACAATTTCGGGAGCCAGGGTTTTATTCCCATGGCCAACATCTCCTGCCTTGATATTCAATCCAGATTCAAAAGCAGCCACAACCTGGTGAACTCTACCCTTGTCCCTCGAGGAACCTACATGACTGTCTTCCTTGGTGTTCGAGTTTTAAGCTCAAAGTGGGAAGCATCCTCCTCCGTATAGGGATCAACCAGGTCCTCCACATTTTTAGCATAGGGGCTATGAAGGTTGTTATCAGCACTCATGGGAGGAGGATCGGCCACAGCGTGCGTATCATCTAGACCCTGCCCGTCCTTCACGTGAACTGGGTCCCGCAGGTGAGGTCGGTTTCCTTCTCCCCGAACCTCCCCTACTCCCGACAGCAGTCAACATGTTATGTTCATGGTGAGAAATAGAAGCCGAAGAAGACCGGGCCTTCATCCCCATATTGGAGTTGCCGTCTTTTCCAGCAACCCCGTCTTTTTGTGCCATTTTCACAAGGCGCCGCCTGTTGCTCTTAGCCGCAGATTTATTCCGGTGATCTAACCTCTCCTTCGCCAGCAGAGGGTGCATTTCATCCTCAGAATCGTCCAGGATTAGCTTTCGCCGAATCACTAGGACTTGTCTCGGCTCATCAGGGTTCATTTGGACCTCGGCCAGCCTTCCCTTCTTATCATCTGGGCTTGCATCCATGGCATCACTCCTAGAATACGCCATATATCTGTTGGGTTTCACTTTCTTTCCTCCCCATTCTTTCTTTGGGCCGATTTCCATGTTATAACCACCCCGGGTAATAGCAAATCTCCCCCTGCAAAAGAGAACGATGGCGCAGGCTCCGTCTGGGCTTCGTTCGCGGAGATTTCTTCATTGGGAAGCCTTTTAGACTTCGCCTCCTCTGCTTGGTATTAAAGTTTTTCCGGTATGTTGAATCCAGACTCGCCCTATCTCGCATAGCACCTTGCTGCTCTTGGCTACCCTTTTCGGGATCCAAGGACTGAACACGGTTTTCCATGCTACCATCCCTGCGGTCTCCCAGAGTTGTGTTAATCCACATGGATTTGGATTTTCCTCGAAACTGTTGAGCATTATCTTCCGCATCATATAGCTAGATGCACAATTTCTTGGTGGACATATGCGGTCCAAATTTTTCCTTACCGGCTGGGGGATTAAAAGTACACTCGTTAATAAAGTGCCCCACACGCCCGCAATGGAAGCAGAACGATGGTAAGTATTTGTACTTTAGTGACCCAGAAGCACCATGTAACATCATTGGCAGCAATGATTTGTGATCGTAATGATTTAGTGAGGTCAATCACAGTTCTCACTTTCACAAAACGTTCACCAGTTTCTTGGCTAGCAAAGACCCCAGCCTCAAGGACATGGCCAAGTTTATTGGTATCCATCTTCCTCCCGAATTTCTGAGTGCAACAGTCCTTCTTCACGTCCCACAGCTGGACACGTAGAGGAACCATGGCAAGGTCATCAAAGAGTTTTTTTGAGATGGTAGGAGTCCATGATCTCAAGTGCAGGATCTTGTCCTTTACCACCCACGGCGTTATCTTGAGAACCCATATCTTGGCTTCCTGAGAGTCCATTGATAGTGTTTTTTAAAATTAGTTTAATATTTCACAATTGATCATTCTTCGTCAAACTCCGTTAACTTTTGTTTATGTGGCGGTCAACTCTGACATGAAAATTAAAAATAATAAAATAAATAAAATTTAATTTTTTAAAATATCCACCTCATTTCTAACTATTAAAAAGATAATCAAAAATCAAAATTTTGGTTTCTATCTTTCCCCCGACCTTTCTTCATTAATCACCGCTCATTGCACGTCTTTGCCGCCATTGACGATACCGCATCCGTTCCCATCGGAGACACCGCCAACCATTCCAATTCCCGGGTGCATTTCAGCTTCAGCATCCCGTACAGTTTTTCGGATGTTCTTCATCGGCTTCAACATCTCTGCCGACCCTCCTCCGTCTCTCCGGAAGATCCCCGATTGCTCCATCCACTCCTCATGCGACTCCCAGTACCCGCTTCGCGGTTGCTATTCTTCCAACTTCCAAAGCAATATCCAAAGTAGTCCAGACGAAAAGGGTAAAAAGTTGGCGGATTGCTCTGCTGCTTCATACCAAGTTACGTTAAACATCCCCCCAAAACTGATATCCATCGTCTTACCTGCACTACTTGAACACCAAGAAATCGGCTCCACCCTAAATCCTAATTTTCCCTTATAGACATTCCGTCCAACACCTTTGCTTCATTCCACTCAAACCCATCATTAAAGCCCAACTTCCCAAAACAAACACAGCCCCTTCTTCACGACATCATGTGATCCTTCGGTCCCAAGTGGCCGGCTACTCGCCAAAGTTTTGAGCGCAGAGAAATTGCACATCGGGAAGTGGATGTGGACGTCGAAACGACCCGGGCGGAGTATTGACTTCTCCTTGCTGTAAGAACTAAGAAATTAGGTGGGAATTTTCAAAAAAATTATTTTATTTAATTATTTGTCTTTTAATTGTCATGTCACACATTTAATGGTCAAATCTTAAAGTCGACCGCCACGTCAGCAAAAGTTAACGGAGTTGGACGGAGAATGACCAAACGTGAAATATTTAAATAATTTTAGTGACCATGAATGAAATTAAATATTTTTATTGATCAAACATGAACATTTTAAAAATCTCAGTGACCAACCTTGCCATTAACCCAAATTGAATAGGATGTGAATGATAAGAGTTACAACGACATAATAACGTTAGTTTTTCTATATCATGGAACAAATAAACATGTTTCGATTTTGTACAGACAAATCAGTGAAAGGAAGAGGAACAGATCCTAAAAGTAAGGTGGACCACGAACCTCCAAGATAAGCCAACGACGACAAATGTGGAGGAAAAAATGAAAGCAGGGGCTCGAAAGGGGAAGTCGTTCATCTTCTTCTTCTGAATTGTGTTGGTCTTGTTTTCTTCAAGTCCTAGGATTAAGGATGTCATATCAATTTATATTATTGTGTTGGTTTAGCGAGTGGAGATAGTATGATTATTGGCACAATTGGTTTGTGTTGGTTCATGTCGGTTTAAAAAAATAACATTTCAAATAAAATAATAAATGCTCATATTTAAATACAAAAGTTAACGTCAATATTTAAGCATTTATATTTGAATCCAACAAATTACATATACTTTTAACATTTATATTCATAAAATATCTAATAAATCCATTTTTCATTAATTTAAATATTTATTCTACTAAAACAACGTCATTTTGCTTAGAGTTTGTAAATCGATTATATCAATAGTGTTCATGTCAATTTCATAACGAGCACCACTTGAACCATATTCAACCGGCCAACATCACAACATGCCTAGCAGGGCCGACCCAGAGGGTCTCCGGACCTGCATCGAGTATATGACTAATTATATTTACGGATTATTGGATTTCGATTATGAATTTAAAATTATAGAAAATTTATGACTTGTGTTTTGATTATGGGTCTAAAGCAATAATATTACAAAATTTAAGAACGAACGGATCACATGGGGGAAAACTTGCTTTCTTAATTACTAAACTTTTTTCAAACCATATAACAAAACTCATCTTTTTCGTGTGTTTCCTAAATATAATAGAAGTTGTAAAATTTGTGATAGGATGCTTCTAGGATTCACATCTTAAACATGAGCTTAATAGCGCACTTTATGAGTCACATTATGGGTGGCATTATATGGGTGCATTATGGGGAAAACTTAATAGGATGTAGTAATGGAGAGGGACCATTATGAGGGGCATAGATGCCTTGTATGAGATCGGCTTATAAAAGGAGCACCTCCTTTTCATTTGTAATCATCCATCATTTTTGTGAGCAATACAACTATAGAGTTTCTCTCATCTTCTTGTGTCTTCTTCTTGTGAGTTGAGTAAGTTTGAGAGCTTGTGAGAAGGTTGCCTAGCATCTCTAACGGAATCGAGAGCTAGGGCCGCACGACCAAGAGTAAGACCGTGATGGTTGGTATCAGAGCCTGGTTCTGAAGAGAAGAACCGGTGCCCTCACTCCCCAAGAAGGACGAGAAGAAAGAGCAAGGCCTCACAAAGATGGTTGGATCAGAAGTTGATGATGATGTTGAGGAGGAGAAGCAACGTGGAGAGATTCAACAAAGCACTTCAGGCCAAAGAACGCGTCCAGCACTCGTGATCCTATGACGGCTCTAGAGAAGCGTGTCTCTATAGTAAAGATGAAGCTGGCTGAAGATGTCACCGCCATCGAGGATTTGGGGGCTAACTTTACCCAAATCCAAGCTGGTGTTCAAGGTGTGGCGACTAGAGTGACGAGTTTGAAGGTTGGTAATGAAGGGCTTCGAGAAGAGCTCATGGCCCTCATCAAAGACACCATCTCCACCTCCATGAACGATGCCATTGAGGTAATAATGGAGGCGGTTGTTGCTGAGATGACTGTCTTGAAGGAGGAGGTTGTGGAGCTCAAAAGCGAGGTGACGCTTGTGAACAGTGCCATGGCTAATGGACCTGCCATCGCACAACCTGCCTCAACCATGGAGATTCCAAGACCAAAGAGCTTTCAAGGTTCGAGGAATGCAAGGGAGTTAGATAACTTCCTATGGAGCTTGGAGCAATACTTCGAAGCTTCGGGTATTCGAGATGAGAATACCAAGGTAAAAATTGCACCTCTTTATTTCAGTAATGTTGCTATGTTGTGGTGGAGAAGGACCCAAGGCAATATCAATAAAGGGACGTGCGTGATGGAGTCATGGGATGACTTCAAGAGGGAGATCAAGATGCAATTCTACCCCGAGAATGTTGAGTTTGAAGCCCGATTGAGACTAAGGAGGCTTGCTCACGAAGGAGAGATTCGAGGGTATGTGAAGGAGTTTTCTGAATTGTTATTTGAGATCCCCCGATTACACCAATAAGGAGGCCATGTTCACCTTCCTTGACGGCCTCCAACCATGGGCGAAGTTAGAGCTACAACTGCGAGGCGTGCAAAGTCTTGCCGAGGCAATGGCGATTGCCAATTCCCTAGTCGAGTACCACGATCCGGAGGAACACGTGGAGTTTGGAGGCAATGGAGGTGGACGCGACTGTGATAGAGATACACGAAGGCGTGTAGATTGGACCAAGGAGGTAGTCATAAGGTTGAGAAACCACTTACTTGATTCCTTTGTGATGGTCCGCATCGTGTGAGAGATTGCCCAAAAAAGCAAAAGTTGTCGGCGATGAAGGTCGCATTAGCAGAGTGCTCGAGCTCGGAAGAGGAAGCGGAGGCGAATCCAAGAGTAGAGCCCCATGTCGCGAAGATTGGTTGCATGAAGAGATTGAGTGCCATCAAGCGCGGGGAAGAGCATCCCCATCCTGAGCGACACGACCAATGCTTTGTAGAGGCAAAACTCAACCAAAGGAAGAAAAAAGCCTTGGTTGATACTGGGGCAAGCTGCAACCTTCTCGACATAGAAGCGCAGAGGCTAGGCATCACGTACGAGAAGAAGCAACGAGGGTGGATGAAGGCTACCAACTCAAGGGCCACAAGAACTCACGGAGTAGCGCGCCAGGTGCCACTCAAGCTGGAGGATGGACCGGGGTGGCGGACTTTGAGGTTGGTTCATTGGATTACTATCAGGTCATTATTGGCATGGAGTTCATGGTGCGGGATAAAGCTTTCCCGATCCCATACGCCAATAGATTCTGCATCAATGGCGGAGCAAGATCGGTTCCCATGACAAGAGAGCAACTCGAGCTAAACAATAGGTGTTTGGCAAGG